TCGGTAGGCTCGGTGGGGAGATGCTTCGGCCGGCTCGGTGGAGAGGTGGTGGGGAGGTGCTTCAGCCAGGTTGGTGGGGAGGTGGTGGCGAGGTGCTTCGGTAGGCTCGGTGGGGAGGTGCTTCGCCTGGCTCGGTGGGGAGGTGGTGGGGAGGTGCTTCGGCCGGCTCGGTGGGCGGGTGCGAGTGGGGCGGGGGGGGTGTGGGAACTCCTTTCCGCATGTACTGTCAGACTGGTGCGAGCTCCCGAAGTTCCAGGGAGCTCTGACGCTGTGTGTGTAGCAGGAAAAACAAATGAGAAAGGAAAAAAAAAAAAGAGTCGTCTCTTTGTCGGTGACGATGATAATGTTCTTCGAATCGTTGAAGATTCGTTGCTGTTTACTATTCTGTTTGTGACTGTGTATGACCGTGCTGTTTGTGACCCTTGCTGTTTACTATTCTGCTTTCCACAAACACTTAGAAAGACAGAAGACGCCAAGAGCTAAAACAGTGATACAGAAAGCACCAGCCATACACTAACAAAGAAAACATAGAGTCAGAGACAGAAAGAGCGAAGTGAGATTCTTCATTGGGGTTGCTTCCTGATGGTGTTCGTGGGCGCAAGCTGCGCTGGCTGCACCTGCTTTTGTTTTACATGACTTATATTTTTTTTCCGGAGCAACTTTTGCCTTGGAGTCGTGTTCGAATTCTTAGCCAAACGTGAGTTAAAAATCAAAAACCGATTTTATTTTATTTTTTTTAACGAAAAAAAGTATGTTTGCCCGAACACATTTGCGAGCCGTTCGCGCGAACGCACGAACACGTTCACTGTGCTACGCAGGTAGGAAGTAAGGGCATACTCACACTAGAGCCTTTTATAGCAAAATCGCTAAAATTGATGGTTCGGCGAGTCGCACGAGGCGGGGAAAGTGGCAAGAGCAGCAAATGGGGTATCAACTGTCAGCGGCCTGGCGGGCCGCAGGGATGGGCATTTTTCTACCTCCTTGGGAGGTGGTATCGAATTTTATTTTGCTTTTCGGGATTTTACACGAAGAAACTTCAGCGCGTCTGTCAACTGCCGGAGGGTGTTG